ACACAGACACACACACACACACACACACACACACACACACACACACACACACAGAGACAGATCCTACTGCAAGATTTGTTGATGATTCCAACCAAAACACATGCTACTTGTAAGGTTTATTGCTTGTTCTTACCTGTTTGGTACCATTTTACTTTTTTGAGTTACTGAAATTTGATGTTTTTGTTTTTTTTGTTAGAAATAAATGATTACTCCGTCTCCTACTTTGTATTTCCCTTATATCATGGTCAGATTTGTCTGAAAGCATATTTTGGCATTTTGTATAGTCTCCCCAACACAAATGTTTTTTTGTTTTTTTTAATTCTACAATTTTAGCTTGTGATAAAATCTAAAACTTAAGAGGTTAAGTACGTTACATCGATCGTTTATAGATTTCAGCCCATATGCAGCCATTGAGTACAAAAAGCAAATAGTGTCTATTGATATTTTTGATATTTTGATACCATCGTATGTCACCAGATGTCACCCAAGTGACCAGATTTTTAGGTTTTGGCTGTCTGAACTTACTGGAATGATTTATTTTATTATTGTATTTGATTGTTTTACTGAAGTAAAATAAGCATATTTTGCATAAATATGGTACTTTTAGAGGTAAATAAATACATAAAAACACCAAAAATCACAAAAAACTGCATATTGACAGTTTTTATTTTATGGAAGATAGTGAAATGACATTTATAAAATAATTTAAAAAACTGGATCACACCTGAGACATTTGTTGCCCAAATTTGTCCACAAAGGACCAATTAAGGGCTGCTATACGCTGCTAAATTGTAATTATATTTCACAATATTAATGACTTTACTGTATTTTTTGATCAAATAAATGCAGCCTTGGTGAGCATAAGAGACTTCTTTCAAATACAGATTTGTTTTGACTCCATCCATAAAACCAGATTGTCCTCATCTCTCAATTATGATGCATTTCTGTTTTGTAAATCATCAGGCCACACAAGGACCCTGCAACACCCCCAAACCCAGCATGCTGGACTTTGTGAATAAAGTGAAATGGGATGCGTGGAAGAGTCTGGGCTCCTTGTCACAGGTGAGAGGAAACAGGAACATTCATCATAAGACATCATATTACTCTAATGTATTTTTTAAGCGAATATAAAGAAAACCCCATTTTGGATCAGCTTTTCATGTATTACTACAGGGTTCTGTTCAAATTTGTAATTAATTACAAAGCAAGTAAAAAAAAAATATATAATTGGAATAAAAATAAAATATTATTAAAACATAATTATCATAAGTATTTTGTTTTAACTTACATGCACACACACATAAATAATAAAAGGCAACAATAGAGGCATTGTTATTCTAATATTTATATATTATATATTTGTTATGGGCTTTTTGTTTTTATTTCAGTTTTAGTTATAATTTTAGCACCGTACTTCAAATTAATCTTCATTTCACTTAGTTTTAAGTTTAAATTAATCTAATAATTTATTCATCTTTAATTCATGTAATATTTTATTTATTTTGACTGAAATCCAAACCCAGCATGCTGGACTTTGTGAATAAAGTGAAATGGGATGCGTGGAAGAGTCTGGGCTCCTTGTCACAGGTGAGAGGAAACAGGAACATTCATCATAAGACATCATATTACTCTAATTTATTTTTTAAGCGAATATAAAGAAAACCCCATTTTGGATCAGCTTTTCATGTATTACTACAGGGTTCTGTTCAAATTTGTAATTAATTACAAAGCAAGTAAAAAAAAAATATATAATTGGAATAAAAATAAAATATTATTAAAACATAATTATCATAAGTATTTTGTTTTAACTTACATGCACACACACATAAATAATAAAAGGCAACAATAGAGGCATTGTTATTCTAATATTTATATATTATATTTTTGTTATGGGCTTTTTGTTTTTATTTCAGTTTTAGTTTGAATAATTTTAGCACCGTACTTCAAATTAATCTTCATTTCACTTCGTTTTAAATTTAAGTTAATCTAATAATTTATTCATCTTTAATTCATGTAATATTTTATTTATTTTGACTGAAAACAGGTTTGGATTTGATATCAGGCCACATGTTATTCAGGTGTCAGGAAAAGGTCTCCGGCTTTAATCTAATAGTCTTGCAGACCTCGAAATGAAGAGAGAGCACGTAGAAAGCTCAGTGCATCTGTGGAGCATACAGATGATGATTGTGTGTTTTAATGTTGTGATGTAACTGCGTTAGGAAGAGGCCAGGCGGCAGTATGTGGATCTCATCACGTCTCTGGTGGGAGAAGAAGCTCCTGCGGTGGCAGCGCAGCCCACCGGGAGCACAAAGAGCTTCCAGACCCTGCTGATCAGCACCGAAGACAACATCACCACCATCCGGCTCAACAGACCCGAGAAAAAAAACGCCATCACTGCGGAGGTGAAAACGTTGCTTTGGATACATACGTACATGATACAATTATGTAGGATGTCAGTTGTGTAGGACATTGGTCATTTATAAATAAATATTTGACCACAGAATGCCAAGACTGATCAATCAAAAGTATTATAACATTACTAAACGACTATATTTATTAATATTAGCAGTATTATTTTAGGAATATTATAATAGTCATATCCAAAATGAAACACTACGTAGCACATGGCAAATTTAAATTCATATGGTTGATGTGTCTGTTTAAAACACAAACTGTGAGGCAGTGTTATTGTAGTATTATATATTTAAATGCTGTATTCATATTTTTATTTTAGTACGTTTTAGCAATGATGTGCTTTTGCATTATTCATTTTTGGTTTTTAAAAATATTTATATGTTGCTTTATTTTTATTTTAGTACTTTTATTGCTGATTTTTTTATTTCCCAGTTTCATTGAAGTTTACTGTATGTTTTTCATCTACTATTTCAGCTTGATTTCAATTAACATGTTTTTTTAAGACTTTCAGTTTTAGTTTACAGTAGCAACATTTTTTAGAAAATATTCTTTCGTGTTTTTGCATCCTGTAGATGTACAATGAGCTAATCGAAGCTTTGGATCTGGCCGGAAAAGACGATTCTGTCATTACAGCGATAACAGGTGAAGTACTCTACTTTGCCTTTCAGTGTTTGCAGATGTTAAAGCAATGTGCTTATCCTCCTTTTAACGTCTCTGAAGGCAGTGGAGATTATTACTGCAGTGGAAACGACCTGAACAACTTTACAAAGAGCCCTGAGGGTGGAGTAGAGAAGATGGCTAAAGATGCTGGGCAGTTACTGAGGTAAAGTCTATTACACTTTATTCTAAACCAGTTTATACTATTTTTGAGGTTGATGGGATGTTATGATGGACATATACACATATGTGTAATAGTTTGAGGCTTGTGTTGTTTTAGGAGGTACGTAAAGGCATACATTGACTTCCCCAAACCTCTGATTGGAGTCATAAACGGACCGGCGGTGGGGGTGTCAGTCACCCTGTTGGGACTCTTTGATGTTGTTTATGCCACAGAGAGGGTGAGCTGCTTTCCTACTGTATATCAGTAGTCCATTATGTCTGTTTTAATTGTATGTATATACTGTATATCTGTCTGTATTTTAGCTCTCCGTCCTTTTGTTTTGGGTGTAGGCGACGTTTCACACACCCTTCAGTCAGTTGGGTCAGAGTCCAGAGGGCTGCTCTTCATATCTTTTCCCCAAAATGATGGGCGCAGCAAAGGTATGAACATCCACTGTAATTTGAGATTAATCCGTTAACTACAAAAATATCATGACGATAATTGCAGTTCAATTTTTTAAAACAACTGACAGCACTAATATCAGCGGGCTGCAGGATTTGGGGGGGGGGGGGGGGGGGGGAACCAACATACTGACCCCAAACTTTTGAATAGTAGTGTATATTTTAAGATTAAATATAAAGTATTTCTTTATATTCTCTTTATATAACCTTTCAAATACAAATATTAAAATTTAAAAAAGTAATTTTACATGGCTGGCTAAATTTTTTGGTGGGGTGAATTTAATCATTTGTTTTTAAGTGTTTATAATGGTTGCCGTGTCCCTTAAAGGGGTCATGAACTGAGAAATCAAATTTCCGTGCTTTTGCATATGAGAGACGCAGGACTATGGAGGAAAAATGGGCAGTGTGCTGGCTTTGGGGGGGGGGGGAAATCAGATTTTTCTGATAAAATGTTTTGATTGCAATAAAAAAACAAATGTATTTATTTGTAGGGGTGCACAATTTGGCCAAATATTTAGTGATTTTTACATATACATTATATATATATATATATATATATATATATAATACTTTATTATAATTGTTATTACTAAATAAAAATAATGAAACTAAATATTCAGATTTTAGTATTTCACTATAAAATAAAAATGTAGTATATAAAAAATTAAAATACAACTACTAATTTTATTTTATAGTACAACTGTGAAATTTCAATACCAATATTTACAGCTGTCTTAAAGGATTAGTTCACCCAAAAATGTGAAAATTCTGTCATTAATTATTCACCCTCGTGTTGTTCGAAACCTGTAAGACCTTCGTTCATCTTCAGAACACAATTTAAGATATTTTTGATTAAATCTGAGGGCTCTCTGACCCTCCCATAGACAGCAAGGTAACTACCACGTTCAAGGTCCAGAAAAGTACCAAGATGATCGACAAAGTAGTCCGTGTGACATCAGTGGTTCATCTGTAATGTTACGAAGCTACGAGAATACTTTTTTGCGCAAAGAAAACAAATTACTTTATTCCACATTTTTTTATACCATGTGTGTGTGGCGTGTGGCAGCGCTCACTCAGATCCGGCGTAATGACGTCATCACGCCGGATCTGGGTCAGCGCTGGCGCCGCCACACGCTCGCATCATGGTATAAAAAAATGTGGAATAAAGTCGTTATTTTTGTCTATAGGAGGGTCAGATATTATCAAAAATATCTTAAATTGTGCTCCGAAGATGAACGAAGGTCTTACGGGTTTGGAACAACACAAGGGTGAGTAATTAATGACATAATTTTCATTTTTGGGTGAACTAACCCTTTAACTCTTTCCCCGCCATTGATGAGTTATCTCGTCTTTTAGATGAAAACGCTTCCCCGCCAAAGACGAGTTTTTACGGCTTTTCGTGTTTTCACTGTTATACACTCGGGGGCGCCATTACGCATCTTTTGAACGAGGACAAAACCTCCCGAACAAAAAACACACGTGAACAGGACGGAGAAACGAGCGATATCTCATGTAAACAGATGCATATGAAAAATAATGCGATCATCAGCAATAGACAGCATATAAATGAAAACAGCATAATGTTACGGAGTAAAATGTTGATCTAGGATGTGGTATATGTCTGTGCAAGCTTTGGAGGTGTTGATGGAAGCGATTTACTGGATTTATGCTTTGATAATCGTACTGAATATTATCCAGATATCGTTTTTGCTCAAAATTATGCATTTTTATGAAACCTACCTATATTCAAGTGTTGATAAAAAAAAGAATGCTTTAAGCTAGAATAAAACTGATTATTTTTTTTTATTTAAAAGTAGAGGCTCAGATCTTTATTTTGGTGTATTGCATATTCAAATATCCATACAGCAAAATATACTGGAGGCCATCAAATTTTAGTGAAAATCATCAAAATCGCTGGCGGTGGCTGGAAACTTTTTTCAGAAATGCTGGCGGGGAAAGAGTTAATTATTATTTATTTTTTTTAAGCTAAGCGATTAGACTTACTATTTAACCTGGTGGGCAATTGAGTGAAAATAATCATAATAAATAACATGCTTAGGTCACTCTAAGTAAGTAATTTGTATGTTGACTTAACAAAATAATGTAAACACTGTGAATTTGTGTTGCAGTCAAAACATTGCTCTGTCTGGACTTACAGAGCAGCACAGAAATGCCACACTTCACCTTCAACTCTGTTAATATGTCTCTCAGATATGTTCTTCTCAGATATTGTGTTTGACTCTTCTCTCTGTTCAGGCTAGTGAGATGCTGTTGTTTAACAAGAAGTTGACGGCTGCACAGGCCTGTGAAGTGGGTCTGGTGACTGAGGTCTTTCCAGAAAGCTCCTTCCAGTCCGAGGTGTGGACCAGACTGAAAGCCTACGCCAAACTGCCCAGGAACGTAAGTACTCAGGCTGCTTGAATTGTGATGTACTAGTGTTAAAAAAGTCAAATTATTATTCTCAAGTAAAAAGGATCTTGTTGCATGAAAACAAATGCTAATCATAGAAAATGTGCAACAAAAGGCAAGAAATTTCACTTCTTTTCACGTGTTTGCACTCATGGTGGTCTTCTCATACCCCTTCAGTCTCTGGCTCTGTCGAAGCAGCTGATCCGCGCGGTGGAGAAAGAGAAACTTTATGCGATCAACGACGCAGAGGTGGAGAGACTGGTGGAGCGCTGGCTCTCAGACGAATGCATGCAGGCCATCATGAGCTTCTTCCAGGCCAAGTCTAAACTTTGAGAAGAGTCCATGGAGCCATTCAACATGCAGCCTCTTCCCAGAATTAACTTTCTTTGGGAGTAGTTTTTCCAGTTAACCCTGTATCCTACAAACAACAGGAAGAACCACCCAACTCATAGGATTTGTATAGCATTGAATGATGTATGCATAACATGAGACATTTTATTTAGTCATTCTGTCATAACAGTTTAATTAGACAACCGTAAAATACAGTGTTATAGAACAAAATGAACCGTCTGTTCCATTTACCGTACCAGATGTGCACTTAGAAGATTGTAACATTCAGTGCCTTACTAATGCGAATGCATTTGTGTTCTTTTATATGAGGGACAAAATTCAGTGCTCTATACTGTATGTTCTGTTTCAGATGCATCAATCTGTGACATTTTGTCCTGAATACATTTTTAATACCTGCTTAAATACCTGTAAATGTCTTGTTAGTGCATATTTCATATCATATGAAATATATCAGTGTTCCTTGAAATACCATGCAAGTGCTCGTTTATGATCAGCTACATTAGTATATATAGTGCTGGTCGTAACTGATTACATGTAATCTGGATTACATAATCAGATTCCAAAAATACTTGTAATTAGATTAACTTGAAATTTTAAAATACTTGTACTCATACTACAGCTACTTTATTATTGATTACATATTATTCGCACAATAGCAATTCATTATTCCAAATTCTTCTTTTTCTTTAAACTCACAACCCTCTGCAATTCCTTCACGAACCTTGACATCATGTAATGTTTAATAAACTTCATGTTGTTAATAACAACAAATGTAATATTTTCTTTCGCTTTGTTTTTTTATTTTTTATATCAATCTGGGGTAACACTTTAGAATAGGGAACACTTATTCACTATTAACTACGACTTTTCCCTCAATGAATTCCTAATTTGCTGATTATTAATTGTTAGTAAGGTAGTTGTTAATTGTAGGTATTGGGTAGGATTAGGGATGTAGAATAAGGTCATGTAGAATAAGGCATTAATATGTGCTTAATTAATGACTAATATTCTAGTAATATGTATGCTAATAAGCAAGTTAAGAGACCCTAAAATAAAGTGTTACCCAATATGGTACAAGATTGTCCTATTTAAATCAAGAAACGTGTTTAATCAAAAAGTAATCTGATTATATTGCCTAAAATGTGTAATGTAACGGATTACGTTACTATCTACAATTGTTGTCATGTTATTTTTTGAATCAGTAATGCACTACAGTATGCAAGTCATCTAGTATTACTATCTGATATCACTGGAACTGGCGGTCCAGTAAATCCAGCAGATGGCAGAGGACACCAGTGAAAATGTAGGTAACAATATGAAGTGGTTGTTGTAATAAAGCGTGAATGTTGTTTTCAAGCGCATTTTGTATATATTTGAATAAGCTGGTGTTACTGTATTCAAGTTAACCTATCGCTGTTTAACAAATGTTTACACAGTGAAAATGACCACATTTCTGTATCTTTGAACACCAGTGTTCTTCCTCAATGTAAACCACCAGGTCTAACAAGTAGCCTGCACACGCTTTGCATCTCCCACTTCGTTTGCCTAACCGGTTTGTGACCCCCAGTGAAAACCCTCATCTGGTTTTGTTAGGGAATGTGATGTCGCGTCTGAAAGGTTAGGAACTCTTTATCAGCAGTGGGCAAAGCTTCTGGCTGGAGTTGGTGGGTATTGATTTGTCTAGGTTAGGGTTCACTGACTTGTTTATTGAATAACAAAGCACTCATGTGACAAAATGACCTGCTCCATTTTTAAGGCCATTTATATGTACAGTACTAAAAGTTGATGAAATTACATACAAAATACAGTTTTATGGAATGATATGTTAAGAGTATTTCACTATGGGGAAACAAATGCAAGAGAAGTTCACACGAGAGGATTTTTTTTTTTTTGAAAGCCAATGGGGTCCGATGTTGTTTGAACCCCAGTGACATTCAAAATATCTCTGTTCATGTTTCACAGAAGAAAGAAACTCATTGAGGTTTGGAATAAAATGAGAGTGAGTAAATAATTTTTCATTTTTAGATGAATTGTCCCTTTAACCAAAAATACTGATGCTATCATCATATGCATATAAACATTTTGTCTATTAAAACTGCAGGATGAGAATGTCTGTCCCCCAGTACCACTGCTTCTTGCTAGCGATTGCAAATATCAAGTTGTTTATGAATATGAATATGAATATGAATATGATTTCTAGCATACATAGATCTTCTTTTGCAACCTATATGAAAGTCAGCAGTCCTCTCAGAATCTGACAGCAGGTCCAAGCTGCGGTTATAGCACGTGTTGAACTGCGGTTCTCTCATGGGGACACAGGTATGAATCTGGCATGCATCACATTCCTGTCACATAAGCGCCCATGAATACAATAAAAAAAGACCCTGACAGCGGGTAGATCCTCAAAAACTGTGTTCCCAGCTGAAACCGTTGGCCCTCTGCTCGTAAAACACTAGACAAAACTGAGCGAGGTCCGCACCTCTTTCCACACAATGTTTGACAGATAGCAGTTAAAAATGCCGCCACACAGCTGTGTACCTGCTTAAGTTTGGAATCACCCGCAGGAAAAGGCCTAGTTACCCTAATGCGTAAAAATAAGACCCTCAAGCAAAACGGGAGATGATTTCCTCCAAGCTGAGGGAAAAACTCTCCAGAGTCAAGGTCTAACCTCACAGCTGAGGACAAAGAAAACCTACGCTGAGCTTGTGATTTCAGTCCGTGCCCCAGTTTTACTAAGACAGCCCAATATGAAACCCCACAAGGCATCTCTAGCATGGCTTCTCTTAAAGAGCACAAGTTTCGAGTTATGCGCTAATATGCCTCCTCTGCAGACTACTTATGTCACCTGTGTTAGAATCCATAATTCACTTTCCAGCTAAACGGATACATTAGGTATCTTTTGGGTTGTCCTACAGAGACTGTAAAAAAGCACCTTTCCAAGTCTCGTAAAGCTGCAGGTTGTGATTTAAAGGCCATCTTCCTCCAAACCCAGGCTGGGTTTCACTGGTTTGTGAGCTTTCTGTCTTTTTCACCGTCGTATTCTCAGCATTGTCAGGATGTTCACTCCACACGCTACTGCAAATATCAGCTCCAGGGGCAAGAATAGGATACACCTTGTACAAACACAGGAATCCCACCAGGTGCTGGGAGACTGGAAAGGCAAAACACATCCATCACAGGGCTCCGCTATTGGCAGGATTGAGCGCTGGCTCACGGTTCAGGCCAGTGTTTGTCTAGCTGGGGTTGAGATCTTCAACACACTGGAGGAAACCATCATCATTTGGAGGAAACTATCCACATTTCCTCCTCATGTCATTCCAAACCTGTACGATTTTCCTTCAGTAGAACAAGAAAGAGGGTTTGACAAATGTGTGCTGTTCTCTTAAAAGTAAAAGCATACAATAAAACCTTAATCATAAAAGTAGTCTTCATGTGCTAAATCAGTGAATAAAGAAGAATCATGTGCTAAATCAGTGGTTCTCAACATTTTTTATTTTTTTTTTAATTGAAGGCATCCCACTGCCCAACACAATATTTGAAAGCCCCTCATTTTTATAGTTTTCAGTCATGTGACTGAAGGGCAAAACATTCAAATATCTGCAGCACAGGACTGTCATGAAATGGAGAATGTTCTTGATATTTACACGTGAAGAAAAAAACAAAACATACTAAGTTTCAGAACACAAAACTAACTCCCCAATGTAAAATTGTAGAATTATTCTACACTTCTGAAACGCCAGGGTTTGAAATCGGGAGAATCGTAATGTCATGATTTCCCCCTCAACACGCCCTTGCGTCATCATCAGTATGTAATCAAGGAGGCGTGTTATGAACAACTCATAAATCTTAGTGAATCAAGCCAGTGACTAAACCACCAGACGGACTAGAGACACACCAGATAAACCTGCAAATGTTTATTTCAGAACTATTGTAAGCCCTGGTCCATTTATGAGAGATCCAAACATGTGCAGTGCCGTTACAACAAGGTCACTTATGGCCGAACGACATGATTATTTGGTATTATGAAGACATTGCTAAAGAACCCTGAGCTCATCTGCAAATGTTGAATGAGTCCTATAGGCTGTAACCTACAAATTGATTGCAAGAAAATATATATATACAGTATATATATATATATATATATATATATAAAAAATAAAATAAATAAAAAATAACAAAAAATAAAGTCGTGGCCTAATGGTTAGAGAGTCGGACTCATAACCCAATGAAGACGCTGAAGTGTGCTTGGTTATGAAAGCAAAACTACTTTGTTTGGTCTTCCAAAAGAGGACGATATCCGCTTCGTCATGCCTGGAGCTGATCTGTGCTGCTCGCTGAGGAAATACATCAACTTTCACCGTGGATGAAGCAGAGTCCAGCCCACCTCAGCTCACTCTATCCCGGTCTCAGCACACGCTAAGCCGGGGCTTCCCCTCACGGTAGGCCGCTGTGTTTTTCATTGCCACTGATGATTCAAATGCGAGTTTTGGGCAGTAGAGTAGCACTTATTGTTTGTCACAAATGCAGACAGAGGTTTATGTTTACACAACGCGATGCAATGCAACGCAACACGTAAAAAGACAGTATAAGTCATTATAATCAGCAATTGTGTCCCCACTGGATGCAACAAATGCTTTGTTTGTAATGGGTTTTAATGTTTATGTCTCGTCGCTCCGGCCGGACACGGCATCAACAGTATGTGAGGGGCGTAACATTTCCATCTCACGCTTGAGGTATTCGGCCAATCACAACGCATTGGATAGCTGGCCAATCACAGCACACCTCGCTTTTTCAGACCGATGAGTTTTGTAAAAATCGACTCGTTTCAGTAAGGCGGGGCATAGAGGAGAAAAAATAATGTACAGTATGTGGAAAATAATGTGTTTTTTGAACTTTAAACTGCATAAACACATTTAATTACACCAAATACACAAAATAATGTTCTTTTTAGCAGCATCATATGACCCCTTTAATATTTTTATATTATAGTCATGATAGTCATAGCAACCATATACAACAATCAGGCATAACATTATGACCACTGACAGGTGTAGTGAATAACACTGATTATTCATCATGTCACCTGTTAGTGGGTGGGATACATTAGGCAGCAAGTGAACATTTTGTCCTCAAAGTTGATGTGATAGAATCAGGAAAAATGGGCAATTGTAAGGATTTGAGCGAGTTTGACAAGGGCCAAATTTTAATGGCTAGACGACTGGGTAAGAACATCTTCAAAACTGCAGCTCTTGTGGGGTGTTCCTGCAGTGGTCAGTATCTATCAAAAGTGGTTCAAGGAAGGAACAGTGGTAAACCGGCGACAGGGTCATGGGCAGCCAAGGCTCACTGATGCATGTGGGGAGCGAAGGCTGGCCCGTGTGGTCCAATCCAACAGATGAGCTACTGTAGCTCAAATTGGTTAAGAAGTTCTGATGGAAAGGTGTCAGAATACATAGAGCATCGCATATTGATGCGTATGGGCTGCATAGCTGCATACCAGTCAGGGTGCCCATGCTGACCCCTGTCCACCGCCGAAAGCATCAGAACTGGACCACGGAGCAATGGAAGAAGGTGGCCTGGTCTGACGAATCATCGCTTACCTGGGGAACACATGGCACCAGGATGCACTATGGGAAGAAGCCAAGCCGGTGGAGGCAGTGTGATGCTCTGGGCAATGTTCTGCTGGGAAACCTTGAGTCCTGCCATCCATGTGGATGTTACTTTGATACGTACCACTGA